TTTTTTTTTTTTTTTTTGCATTCCCAACAAAACACATACACACAGGCGGCACACTCCGCACACGGCCGGACCCGCACGCCGGGGGAGGGAGCGCGGCACCGCCAGCGCCAGGCAGCACCAGCTGGCGGGAGGGCGCGAGGCTCCGCAGCCGCTCCGCGCCCGCGGAGGGCCCCGCGCCGCCCGCCCGCCCCCGCGCCCCCGGCCCGCGCGGCGGCTCCACCCGCAGAGACTCTGCATGTGCGCGGCTGAGCGCGGTTCCGCTCGCCCTTTCTCTCGGTGTCAGCTCGCCGGGACGCCCCGCTCGGTGTCTGCTCCCGGTAAGTGCAAACTCCCCCCCCCGCCCGCACACCCGTCCCCTCCTCCCGGTGCGACTTGCTACTTCCACCCGCTACCCCCCCGCTCCGCTGCCGCTCACTGACTTGCCGCCGCGGGAAAGTTTGGCCGCGGCCGGAACGGCCGCAGCAGTGACATGTGTCAGGTCTCTGGGCACTCGGTGGCTCCGCTCCCAAATATACACGGCGGGCGGGGGGCGTGGGGCGCGCCCGGCGGCTGCCGGCGCCCCGGCTGGAGTTGGGGCCGTGCCCGCCTAACCCGGCGGGCCGGGCCGGCGGTGAGAGCGGGGCAGAAGCTCCCCCAAAACCACCCGGGGTGGCAGCGGGTCGGCGGGGCCGACCTCCCTCCGCGCAGCGCCGCGGACCCTCCCGCCCCCCGTGTAATTAAAAACAAACAACCTGTAGCCTCTCTGCACGGAACAGAAGTGTGAGGCGGAGAGGGCTCGGGGCCAGGCTGCGAGGGAGCTTGTGCGGGAAGCTCGGCTGCCCGCGGCTCCCCTCCCCGTTTGTGTGGTGTGGATTTTTTTCTTTTCCCTCTTTTTTTTTTCTTTTTTTTTCTGTTTTGTTTTTCCCCGAGACCTCCCCAGCAGACAAGCCCGGGTGAAGAAACGTGTCACGTTTCTCCTTTGTGTGCTGCCTGCCCGCCGGAGAGAGAGGCGCACCCCAGCCTCCGCCTCTCCGCCCGCCCGCGCGGAAGGGCTGCTGCCGCCGCCCCCTCGGGGCGCCCCGCGCTGTGCGGCCCCGGGGCGCCCCCGCTGGCGTGGGAGGGGAAGCGCAGAGGCGACGAGGTGACCCTGGGGGTCGCGGTGCCCCCCGGCGCTGTTTGGGCTGCGCAGGAAACAGTCTCGTCCCTCTACCCAAGACAAAAATTGCCTAAACCCAAGAATTAATAAATAACGATGTTGGAGCTGCGGGGTTCCGGAGGTGGCCTCCGTGCCTGGTACGTAGGGGCCTTCCCTTAAAATTGGCTCTTGAAATTGAAAAGGGCTGCGGGAGTTGGAAAGTTTGGGAAGTGTGATTGATTTTGAGGAGAAGGGAGCGGCGACGGCCCCAACTATGGAGCGGGATAGGCTTTGCCATGCTATCGGGAATGCCAGGGCAGCCGCCCGAGGGAGGGCGAGCACCGGCGCCTCTGGTCCGCGTTGTGCCGCTTCGAGCACGGGTGCGCAGGCGGCAGCGCTTTTGGCCTCCCGTAGTCTGCTGGGAAGCCTGTGCCGCCCGTCGAAGCCTGTACGGCCAAGGTAAAGGCAACCGGTGAGCCGCTCTTGCTCTTTCCCGCAGTTCGGCTCATGCCAGGTTCGGCGGGCAGCGGGCCCGTGTCCCAGCGGAGCCTCCGGCCGAGAACACTTGCGAGCGCTGGTAAGGTCCCGGGATGGAGCTCCTGGAGAGGGGAAAAGCCCGGCCTGTGGGCAGGCAAGAAAACATTCATCTAAGATTTGTGGGAGTAGTCTAGACAGAAAGCAGACTGCTGGTATATTCTCCTGGAAAAATAATCTCAGAAGTAACCACTCTAAATTTATGGTATTGTCCTCTGTTAGTAAAGAGTGCAGAGCTGCAGATAGAAAAACAGACAGTACCCTCTACCGGGGAACCACTTCTACTTTTAAGAAGTCTTGCTTGTGTACATACTTCCTTTCCGAGAGAAACACAGAAGTTTCCCTTCCAAAGAGGATTTCCCCTGATCTTTTCCGTGCATTAAAGCCTCTATCCAAACTCATTCTAGTGAGTGGGAATTTTTCCATTGACATCAGTAGGAATCCTCCATTGACTCCACGGGCTTGCGCCAGGCCCTTGGAAATTTTGTTACAAATGTGGGACTTGGAAGTTGCGGGTGGTGTCTATATCCGCATGTTAATTTCAGGAGGGGGTGGGAGAGAAGTCAGAGACAAAGTTTTAAGAGATTTTGACAGGTTTAAATTTTTTCTTCTGCGTGCGAAGTAATTTAAAACCATTAAGGAAGAACACTACTGCTAGTAATATTACTCTAAAGAAAATATGATTAATTATTAAATTGGTTTCTCTAATGCTACACTAAATCCTTTTGAGATATGTTCTATTTTTTTAATCTAAGTTTTTTTCCTGACTATAATAATTTGTAATGTAAATGTAATACTTAAAAGACCCCTATTTTGTAGTAATTTGCTGTGCTTCTTACAAAGCGGTAGTGTTCTGTAGTATTTTTGTATACTTAAATCATTCACTTAGGTACTCAGAATAGTAGATTTCAGAACGGTTGAGGGAAAGGAAAGAGTGTTTCAAATGTAGCATTTCCAAAATACATATAGTAACCTTCATGCCAATTGATAGCTAACTTAGTGACATACAAAAGTCATATAATTAGACATCCTAATTTAATCTGTTAATATGTAACACATGAGACACACTGCTTCATGTGAGGCCTTGTTGGTGTAGGCTTTGAGGTTTAAAACTAACCTTACTAGGATGCTTAAGCAGAATCAATTGTATAAATATTTGTGTTTTTTTTTGTTTTTAGTTTAACCGCAGTGATCGGTAGGTTGTGTCACAAGATCTTTGCTACAGTGCAGTGTTTATAACATTTGAGAGAGGAAGAAGCCTACAGGTTTTGTAGCTTTCTGTTTAGTGAAGATGTGTGTAAAATGACCAAAGAGAGTCTATAGGGAACAACCACATTAGAGCTTTTTTAATGTGAGGAAGAGTAAAAGAAGTATATCAAGTTCAGGACATTTTAATCAGTGTATACATGGTACTATATTAAAGTTTCACTAGGGTTTATACAATAGTCAGGTGAATAGCTTCACAGGTTTTTGAAGTGACCATTTGTTGCTCTTTTTTTTCAGTAATCATCTGTTGCTTATGCATTTTTTAAATGCTTTCTGTAATAGCATTTAACCAACATTTTAAGATTAAGGGTGTATTTGTTTAGAAATATTCCTGTCAGACTCCATTATATTTTTGGAGAAGTTCTTATTGGACTCAAATGTATTTAAAAAAAAATACTGTAGTATAAGAATTTTTTTTTTTTACTGATTTATGTGAGCTAGAATAAGCTTTTTGTATTCTGATGAATATACCTGATTCAGCATTGCATGCACAGGAGTTATTCAAGGCTAGTGGGCTGAAAACAATAGAAAACTTCTGAGATGTGATCCATGTTGTGGCAGTGTTTTGCTATGTGTCATTGAAAATGTCACTTAACCTCTTTGTTTTTCATCATTGAAATGTGAGGGCTGGTATTTATCTATCTCTCTGATAGAGTGATTAATTAATATTTCTTGAACACTGAGTACTCTTTTGTTCCATTTCTATATTTACCACGTTTATTTTGGAGAAATTAAATTCTGATGGTGGTTGAAAATGAATGGTTCATGGGAGTCATCATGTTTTTTCTTTGTGAGTGAGATCGTGAAGAGGTCACTTGCTCATAGGAATTGAAAATGATTTAGGACATAGGTCACTGAGAAGTACGCATGGAATGATTTTGACTGGAGAAAATTGCAAATCACAATCAAACTGAAAAATGCTATCAACTTTGTTACAAAATAATATTTTTTTTGTACACTGGAACTGATTACTCTTTCTAAATTTTGTGACAGCTAGTAGGTCTAGAAGTAATGCAAATATTTATTTTTTTTTCACAGCCACTGTAGCATACCTCTCAACGAATCCTTGTTAGAAGGAATACTTGTCATTTAGATTCCTGTTCTCTGCCCTGTTTTGACTTGAAATCTTTTTTGATCATATGTGTAAAATAGTGGCACCAGAAAAACAGAATAAAAAAGATGAAATTATAGAAAAGCTTAGCTGTAATAAACTAACTTCTTAAAGTTAATCTTAAAACTGCAGTTGTATAGTTCATTGTTAGTTGTTTGAAGGTTTTCTTTCACATTTGTTCCTTCACAGAATGAGCACAGTTATTGTAATAATTACCAGGGCTAGCTTTAAACTCAAATTTCAAAACTTCTAGATCAGCCTAAAAACAAGGAGCAGTCCAACACATATTATTTAACACTGATGATCTTTTTTTCTCCTTTCTGAAGCTTTCAGTAGGTTAATCAAACTTACTACTTGCAAAAATCTTTCAAAATGTTTACTGCAAATTATAAGAGACATCTGTCCTTTGTTACAAGATTTGCATCTGTTTCAGCTTTACTGCTTTTTTTTTTTAATCCCCATTTCTGATAGGTTTGCGTTTTAAGGGCAAGATGATGTTTTATGTCAGAAAGCTGGATTTGAAAGTGCCAGCAATAGCTCGCCTATGCTGTCATCACTGAAGTAGCTGAAAATAATCTCTTTAATGAACAGTTGCTATGATGTTTATTGGTTCACCAAAAGTGTAGTTTGGGATGGTGTTCAAACTTGAACTCTGAGGAGTGAGTTATGTGTGGAATTGTATTTAATATTAGGATTTTGGTTCCTAGTCTAAGAAAAATAAAATTAAAATATTAAGCACATTGTCTTATGCTATTAACTATCTTAAGTCTTTTTAATAAATTGTAGAGTTTGTTGAGGAGAGGGAATAAGAACATTGTAGTTTTAACTTTTTGTTTGGTTAATTAGTTATTCCTTTTCCCTGCAAATAGTCATCACACCTCTATAGCTGGAAAGGGTTTTGCTGCAGTTTGTTTCTTATTTAACTATATGCGTTAGTCAGGCTGGCTGCTGAGGGCAGAGCCTACTCCCTTGGGTACAATGGACTGTACCCTCTGTGTGCCCTGAGCGTGGGTGTCTCTTCTGCTGGGTGGCAGAGAGCTTTGCTATAGGTAGCACAGATGACTTTCTAACTTATCAGGCTGAGGAACAACAAGCAGATAGCTTTAAGGGACAGGCAGCACTTTCATTCAAAGTGCAGAAGGGAGATTTTCTGCCCTGCCCACCCCTCCACCTGCTCGCTGCTACGTGATGGCCATTCTGGGGTGGAAGGAGTGACTACAGATCTCTGTCATACAACCCAAGCCCTCTTTGAGGTTCGCAGGCTGGCTTTTGACTTACCTCTAGAGCTTGCTTGTTTACCAAGGAGCTTCAGTCTTCTCCCTCCTTCTTATGGGCATCAGGTGCTGAAAGTGGGTGGTGGGGTGTCCGTTTTGAGAAATTGCCAGCCCATTGGTGGTTGCAGGGTCCACAAGGGCAAACTGTAAGTCCTTTGCTCAGTGAGCTGGTCCTTTGGATCTCCACAGTGCATCAGACCACAATTGCAAATTGCATCATGTTAAGTATTTCTGTAAGGTGCTGATCTCAGTCTTGTTTCAGCTAGTTTGCCTCCAGGATGTTGTGAGGATGACCGCGATTCCTGCGGGCCTGTGTGAACCTTGTCCTGATGGGAGATACTCTTTACCGTTGGGCCCAAAACTTGAAATTCATTTGAAGAGTGGTGTTTTGAGGCTAGAGGGTACATCGATATATGTAACTAGAAAGTTGTTGGGGTTTTCTAAGCACGTTATTTCATTGAATAAGTATTTACATTGTTATATGGTTACAAAGAAAATCCTACATCTTTTAAGATTGAAGTTTAGTTGATGATCTTAGTAAAATAATTTATTTTTTCCTTCTCAACGTGAGGTGTATTTTGCAACTTTGGTCTGAATTTGTCTCCTAAGTAAATCTAAATTCTGATTTACTCTGTGTTCAGTTTCTGTATTCAACCTAAACCAACATGTTACATATTATTGAAATAATAATTAGTATTTTATGTAATTTGAAACTATGTATACATAATTTGACTAGTTACATTTTTGATGTATCTATATGTTAAAGCAGTTTGATCTTGATGGATATAGCCACCTTGATTTTTGGGATCTGTCCTTTCAGAAAAGGAAAGAGAATGGCTGTGCAATTTTAGCTTATTACATTGCTTGTCCGATAGGACCAGATCGGATAATTCAGTCTGAAAAATTAAGGAACTTGTGTTTAGAGAAACAGTCTCAGAGTTACCAAGCTATGTCAAGTGTAATACTTTAAGTATCTATCAGATGTTGATGTTGAATTTGCTCAGGAATGGTGAAGAAAATTTAAATGAGGTGAAATCTCTAAACACTATTTAAACTTTGCCATGCTGTTGGTGTTAAGTCTTGTAAAAGACTTAGTCATAATTACATTGTTGATTTTTCCCTTTGTAAGTCTTACTGTTGATGTTGAGGAGGCATATTGTTCTCCTGGAATTGTACCACCCCCAGTAAAACAAGTGGTGGGTAATACCTGTGTAATAAAACCTGTAGCTGACATTTAACTACTTGGAAATTAGATCAGAAACTGTCAAGTTTTACAATGTACAAATAATATAGAGGAAATTTTAAGGGTTAGTGGTGGGAAGCCATGCAAGGCTTTGCAAAGGAGAGGGACAACACACAAACAGTGGAGAACTGGGGAGTGCTGTGGAAAAAGGCCAGAGAAAACATGTGGCTGGCCAGGAGCCAGCAAAAGTGCAGGTAGCACTGCCAGGAGGTGGGCAGCTGCTCAGAAAATAGGGGCTCAGGTTCTCAGAAAAAAGAGCAATGTGATTTTCATCTGGTGCCCAATATAGAAAATAAATTTTTTCACCTTCACTTCTTCTGTGGGAAGAAATAATGAACTTTTTGCATGTCAGTGTTACACACGTGTCAGACACAGCTCTGACAGGCACAGGAGTTACCCCAGGTTACACTGGCCCCAATTGAGGCTGCTATTTTTTAAATACTAGATCTTGTTAATTCCAATGTGTATCTTTGGAAACTTATTTGTTAGTTGTTACATTGAAAGTTGATTTTTACTTACTGAAGAAAAGTATAATCTTCTTAGTGTGACAGAGGAGGGAGAGAGGTCTTTTGAAGATAAAGAGGGAAGAGAACCATCTAGAAAACAGAGGCTAGTGTCTTTTAGAGTCTAAAACACAGTAATTGAAATATTTATGATTCAAGGCACTTCTCTGTGAGAGAACACAAACAGGATTGTGGTTTTATTGCAGTACTTACAGTATTCTCATGACCTAAAAATGAAAACACGAAAACCTAATGCAGTCAGGTGTGCACAGACTGCAGTGACTCGCGTATTTGCCGAACTGTTGTGCTTTTCGATGTGTGTCAATGTTTTAATTTTTGTAGAATAACATCGTCAATAAGGAATAAATAATGTTATGTATAGAACAGGGCAAATATAAGAGAAAGGGTGCTGAGGACTCCTTGATATGTTGTAAAAATCATTCATCATTAAAAGTCAATTAGTGGAATGTATGAGTGCTAAACCTGTAAAAATATTAGGATGGAACTTTGCTAAAAATCATTATGCCTTAGTGCAGAAATTCATTCAGACCCATTTATTACCAACCTTGAATGCATTTAAATTACTTTTAATGTTGTGATGATGCTTGTCAGTTGTTCTCAGTACACAATAACTGTTCAGCTGCACATTGAAGAATAAGTATAGTCAGTAATTCAACAGATAACTATATGGAATATACAGAAGAAGTTTCACACAGTATCAGTAACTCCTTGCACATTCTTTTGCTTAAGAAGAAGAATTAAGTGTATTGTGACAGAAACGTTGATATATTTTGTATTTAATTCTATTTTAAGTGACTGACATCTTGTAAAAGAGTTAAAGGTGTGCTCAGCATTGGATGTTCTAGATCTGTTCTTGGGCTTCGCTTTATTATCAACCAGAAAAGGGTGTGAAGTATACTTGAGTAACCAGAAATGTAAATCTTGTGACTTACAGTATGGAAACCTTTTAAAAATATTGGTTGAGGTTTTTTTGTTGGGTTTTTTTGGTTTTGTATCTGAGAGCCAGATCATGCCCTCGAATCACAGAGAAGCCAGAAGAATGGTAGAACTGCCAAAACATTTGTGTATAGCTTCAGGACAGTGCTAGGTGAGGAAGTTGATGATCAATCCAATGTCTCTTCTGTGAAGCCGTGCAGCTTTGGAAGTGGTGTGGGTTTGTGTCTGTGCCTGCACATGTGTCTGCACAACATCTCAGGGCTCCTTTCTTCATCCGCAGCTTTTCAGGAAGGAGACCAGGGCCTTCAGAAAGAAAATGAATGTATCCGCATGTGTTTACTGCATCTCAGGTTATGGGACAGAAAACACTCTTAAGAAGAGTGCAGTTAGTCTTTGGCTGTAACAGTGAATGCCTCGAAACAGTGTTTGAGGAATGTGGTTCTCCCAGACAGGAGCTGACCATGCTGATGAGTGTTTTACAACATAAAAATTAAAGGGTTGTGATGGGAAAACCTGGCTTTCCAAAATCTTCCTCCAAAAAATGAGGGAAGTGTGCTTTCAGACTAGGTTTGCATTTGTTTCCAGACTATGCATGGCTTGCAACATTGGTGTCTTGCTGTGCTCCAGTTTCAGGTTGTCCCCTGAGGTGGTTGTGGGGTCTAGGGGTGCCTGAACTGGCAGTGGAGTCTGGAGTGGTGAGTGATGGAGTGGCTCTATCTGCTGGTGACAGCTCACTACCTGTCAGGACTCCACTCAGATTGAGCTTCCCAGCTCCTGTGGCATGCAGGTGCCCTGCTTGTGTCTTGACCAGTGTCAGGCTTCAGGAGAGGACATGCTTGAGACAATGGCCATATATTTGTGTTGAAAAATCCAAGACTTTCAGCCCTAATCTCAAGTTTTCTGAAGCTGATTTGAAGATTCCCTTTTTTGGCTTAGGCACCATGGTTGGTTGATGCTTTACACGAGTTTGTATGTGCCTGTGCAAAACAGGTTTCTGAGGTTGAGGAGTTACCAGCTACTTAGCTGTTCTTCAGGGCCACCTAGAGTGAGGCTGGTGATGGACTGCTTGTGCATATTTAAACCAAAGCTATGTCTTTTCAGTTTTTCTTTCAATACAGGTTCTAATACCAACTGTTTCATAGGCCCTGAAGCAACTCTCCACGAAGATGAAAAAATCCATATTCAAAGTGACTTTTTCATAACATTTAAATATTTTGAGGGGTTCACTTTCATTTATTCACAAAATGGATCTTAAAAAGTACATCAGTCAGGTACATAATTTGGGAGGATCCAAAGCCATATAAATAAGACATTCCTAAAAAGATGAACACAAAGACTTATTTTAAATCAGTGGTGTCCAGCCCAATCAGCCAGGCATGGCAGCCAGGTATGTGTGAACACCAGTAATTCACTACATATTTGTCTAGAAAGGGTATGGCTATTGGTTGAACCTTCCTCTCACTTCTTGAGACTCTTCCTCCCCCTTATTATTTGATTGTCCCTGCAAAGCCTGAGAAAGGTGGCAGATGGAGAAAAACATATACTTGACTGGTCCTACTGAGTTGCAGGCTGAGCACTTGCATTTTAAATCTTTGTGTGACTCAGTAGAATACATTTATATTATTTGATTATGTGTAAAAATGGAACCTACTGTCCTGGACTTAACTAAGGTGCTATTT